CCCCCAGCACCAGGCAGGTTTGCTGCAGCCCTTCCCGACACCGCCCCTGACGCCCAGGCTTCGCGCCCGCTCCTCACTGGAGGGAGATTTCCCCCGCAGCGAGGAGGCTCTGACTAAGGGGCGCGAGGGAAGGAAGCAGAGGGTCCCCGTGGCCTCCGGAACGGCTCCCCCAGGAGCTGCCCCAGGGCTCTGCGCTCCCAGTCTCTGTTTTGGGGCAGGGCTGCAATGGTCCCTGCGTGGAGAGGGGAGCTCCCACGCGGGGTCAGCGCCTCCCTGCTCCCGGGGCTTCTCTTTTCCCCCGCAGATGCCTTTAACAAGACTCACAGAGGTAAAACTCTGCGCTTCGCCTTTGGGTGCTCTGCCCTCCCCGTGCCCCATGCTGAGTCCCTTCCCCACGCTCTCCGGGATGCGCTTCCTCGCCTCCAGCCTCCAGTGGGACCCGCTGAGACCGCACACCGCTCGTGACAGGGAAGTGTGCCAGCCCAGGCTCCACACGGAGCCCGTCCAGCCCAGCCGGGCTTCTCCCACACCAGCGTCCCTGAGCAGGTCTGGCCTCCAGAGCTCAGCCCCAGCAAGGCCACCTCAAAAGAGGAATCCCCCACATGGAAAGGGAATCCCCCACCTGGAAAAGGGAATCCCCCACGTGGAAAAGGGAATCCCCCGTGAGTCACTTCTGCCTCACACCATCCTGGCAGGAGAGCTCAGCCCCACTCCTCCTCCTCCTCACCCAGCAAGGTCTCCCCTGCCCATCTCCATCACAGGAGCTGTGAATTAAATCCAAATCACTTAAACGTTAACCAATTATCCACACCCCGGCGAGGCAGCCGAGGAAGTTGCACTGCATTACTCCGGCACCTGCCCGATGTAATTAGCCTCGGAGCCACTGAAGCTCGCAGCGCTTGTACATGTGAAATAATTAAAAAGCGATGGAAGAGAGTCCGTCAGCACCAGGCAGGGGGAGGGGGAGCAGCCGGGAGGCAATCCCTGTCCCACCCGGCTCCAGCTCCGCCATCGCCCCCCGCCAGGCTGGCATGCCGGGGATGGGCAGTGGTACCCGCCGTCCATCGGCGGCTCCAGCTCGTGCGTCCCTTACTCCGCTTCCCAACCTGAGAGCCACCGCCACCCCTGCGGTCTCCAGTCCGGTCTTGCAGGCTTGTTGGGAGCAGCCAGGCATGAGTCTTTACGGCAAAGCCTGTTCGTGATGGCGGGGGAACATCCCCACCGTGGGACCAGAGCTTTCTGCACCGGCCCCACTGGTCAGGGGTGATGTCCAGGGTGGACTTCTTGTTTTAAAATCAGGTTTCCATGCAAACAGGGACAATGTTTCTGCCCCGCGCTCTCCGTCTCCCCCACGGGCTCATCAGCACGTATTGGGTGTGACATCCCCTGTGCAAACTGAAGAGGGGGGATAAATCTGTTGCCTTGATTGCCACGAATGCAGTTTCCAGCTTCCTTGGGATGTAAATCACGCTGCTGCTGCTGCTGCCCAAATGGCTCGAAAGCCTTCTGCAGAGCTCGCTGCCTGCAGTGGCAGGTCAGGCACTCAGGGATGCTGCCATGCTGGAGCAGGTCAGTCCTCAACCGTGGGCGCCTGCCGAGGGGCCCTGCAGCGGCTGGGGGGGGGGGGGCGCGGCGCGTCACGCACCC